ACAGCCACAGTTTAATGTTTATTGTAGGCGACTAGACAAGCTGCTTTAACACATTCTGTAATATACGTCAACAACTGAGGGAGAAACAACGCAGATGTAAAAACGTTGATGAAGTGAAAGCTCTTAATTAAAATTATCAGCGTTGTTGATAAATGGTTAGCAAAAGTAAACGTTTTCCATCGGATACAGTCAACTGCTTTTTAATTTCAATTTTCTTTCTCATTTCTCATTTTTTTTCCCCTTTTTGATAAATTTATTCAAAGAATAAAGTGTTTAAAGAAAAAAGTTAATATTATTAGCTAAATATATTCTTAGATCAACGCTATTAATCTTTATTTCATTCTTTGTTAAGATTTGTTTTTTGATTATTCAACACTATTTAGCAGCGCAAAGAATTAAAGAAAGAACACTAAACAAAAAGTAAAAGTAAATATTTATTAAATACAGTATACATTGTAAAGTTTTGGTTATCAGTTGGATGTAACAGTAATTTTTGCAACTTTAATGCCTTTATTTGTTTGAACTTCTAAATTGAGCAATTTTCTACCACAAATATTGAATGCTTCAAATCATTAAAATTTTTCAAAGTAAACCTTCGGAAGACGAAAGTTAGCTGAAAAACAAACTCTATGAGTGATTTTATCAGTGTCCTGAACTTTACCACCAAAGCTCCCATACATTCCACTGCCAAGGTCTCGACGTTCCAATGTTTTTTGCATTTCTTCGCCATACCGTGTCGTTAAAAAGTTATTAAAATGTGCTGTAAATTCAGCTGCTATTTGCCCGAACAAAACGGTTAACACAACAACAATTGTAGTGAAGCTCATTAGTGTTCAATTTGGCTGACAAATACACTGTAAAAAAAACAACTATTATTTACAGAAAAAAAAATTTAAGAAGTAAAAAAAAAAACGCTTTTATTTTTGAAGAAAGAAAACTGTTATTCGACAATGACAAATAAACTTTGATCAAATGAAAAAAATAATGAACAGACAACACTCTACTCAACAACAAAAAATCTGTTCTTTTGATATTACGAAAGACGAATATAAGGTAAAATAAGGAAAGTATAAAATTGTTGAAGTATTTTGAACAATGTTTCAAGCAGCAACTGTTTGAAAAACTTCATCGTCGTTGTCACAACAATTATCACTAACAGAAAAAAAAAAGAAAAGAAAGAAACAGAAAAAAACAATTAGAAAAATTTTCAATAAGTTTTTTTTTTTTTCTTAACGAGGAAAAATCACTCAATTTATTTATATATTTTACAATTTATAGAATTTTTTTTTGTCTTCTTTTTCATTTTTTTATCTTTTTTTCTAAAAAATCGTTCTGCTCTGAACGTAATTAGAACTGTTAACAGAATTTAACGGAAAAAAAAAGTTCTTGAGGTTGCTCCAGGTACTGAGCGTCTGTAAACTACAGCAACAGTCTAAAAAGAAAGAAATAACAGTAAAATTTTCCAAAAATATTTGAAAAAATCAAACGATATCAACAAAATAAAAAAGTTCAACTTAAAAATAAGTAAAAATTAACTTTTTTTTTACCTCCTTAGAGAAGCATTGATAATTTTGGATAACACTGATAACAGATGAACGATGGCTTTAACAGTAACTGTATCGGTGATTACAACAGTTACAAATAGCAGATCAATGCTGAACAGACACTCAAAACACAGTCTCACAGATAACAGATACATATATCGGTTGTGTAATCAAAGTACTGCTAAACGGATAACCAATTCGGTGGATTTACTGAAATAACCAAACAAACAATTACAGTTTTTTTTTCCCTGTATCTAAGTGAAGTTTCAAATACGACATTTCGACAACTGTATCCAACATCAGTTTACTCCTTATTTGATTCTCCGCTTGTTGTCTATTTATTTCTTTGACTGTTTGCACTCCGAGAAAAAAAAAAGAACAATTAGAATTTTATAAATATTTAAAAAAATAAAATTTTTTACCAGTTGTATTGCTAAACATTTATACTCATTAGTTTTTATTATAGAAATAAAAAGTGAAAATAGAAAGAAAAACGAAGAAGAAGAAGAAGAAGAAGACTGAAGGTAAGTAATGCTGATTAAATCAAATACCTATTCTATATCCTGAAATTTTCGCCAATTTTTTTTTCCACAAAAACTTTATTTATCTTTTCAAATTAACAATAACAACCCCTCTTTCTGAAAGAAAAAAAAACACTCAATTATCTTTACCGCTTTCAAGGCTCTCCTAAAAAGAAAGAGGGATATCTGACTTTAAATTTTATAATTTCTTTCTATTTTTTTACTTTTTAAAACCTATAATTATAGAACTTCGAAATAAAGTGAAGTATTTTGGCTTTAATTGAGAAGTCAGACGAAGAAGAAAATAAAGATATGAATTATTTGTCAAATTACTAGTGGCTTATTAATTCAAACTGTTGCAGTATACGGCTTATATACGGTGAACCACCGTTGTTTACTTTATTTATTTACTGTACACAACAACAGATTATGCAAATTAAATTGTCATTTATCAATCTTTTGTTTCCACTTCAGTAACTTTTCTTTTCATTTTCATCTCTTTTTTTTGTCGCGGTTGAAATATTCGCCAATGAACTATGAACTACTGACCTTTTCTTAACCAAATTATTTACTGTCCTCATAAACAGCTTAAAAAAAAATATCCAAATTTTTGTTGATACTATTGTCGCCAGTGAATTGGTCGCTTAAATTTTCTTTTTTTTGTTGATATTTATTTTTTTGAATTTGAATTATTTGAATGGTCTCTATAGACTATTTTTCTGTCTTTTTTTCCCCCCCTCTATTTTGTCTCTGCTTTTATCTCTTAGAAATAATTAACTATAGAAGGATTCATAGATTTACAGTGTTATTTCACTGCCTCACTTGGCAAAACTACATAATACAATCTTATGTCTGCTTCAAAGAATCTTTATGAATATGACGTTTCATCAACAACAACAACAACAACAACAAAAAACCAAAGTTCTTTTAAACTCTGTAAATGTATTTTCCTTTGTTCCAAATATTTTCAAAACAGTTTTGCAACAGTTCAATTTCAATTGAAAACAATTATGAGTTTTAAAAACACAAATTTAGACATAATTCACAATGATCTTAAACCTGAGGTCAAAGTCAGTACGGTTTAGGTTTACAGAAATTGTCTAGTTCAATCCTACAGTTGCTTTTTGTTTTAAAAAAATTTTGCCTTTTACACAATAAACTTTAAAATAAAAAAAAAATTTTTTTAATGCTCTACTGAATAAAGTCAACTAAAATTTGTATCTCAATTTTTATTTATTTATTTATTTGTTTTTTTTTTTGTTGTTGTTGACAAAAGTAGACCATAAAATATTGTTTCATAAAATTGTAAAAAGCAACAAAGATTAAATTCATTCATAAACAATAAATTCATATCTTTGACAAATTTTTTCATTAAATTTTATAAATCTTTCAGTAAAATATGGCGAAATTTTTGGAAAATTTCCAGTGAGCAATTACTGTGACAAAGCGCTGTGTGTATCAGCAACTGATTATGTTTCAGCTCTCAGAAGTATTACAGAGTTTGGTTTCATGTCTTTATTTGTATGCTTCATAAAGTAAAGGTTTTCAAATATATATTTTATCTGTAGCGGTGTTACAGTAAAGAAGAAAATTAAGCAGCTACTATTAAGCTAGAAATTGCTGGTCAAATATTTCTTTCCGATTCACTCAGCAGATATTCAAAGCATTTCATTATTTTTTCTTGTCATTTTGCAATCAAATATACCACAGTTGTTATTTCCGGTGACTTTTTTCGGAATATAAAAATTTTTGAAACCTGTTTTGAATGTTGTTAGAAAAGTCTTCTAAAGCAAATGTTTTACTTTTGCTATTGTTTAAAAACTTAGAAGTGTTGCAGATTTTGGAACTGTGTGATAATCAAACTTGCATTTTTCTTTGCGATCAGATTCTCTACAATACTGACAAAGTTTGAACTTATAAAAAAGCAGTTTTCACTTTCAATAATTTTTTAACTGTCAAACTGCTACCTTTATAAAAAGCTAACAATTGTCACATAAAAGTTGGATACAGGTAGCATAAAATTTACGCTAAAAGCTTTTAAATATTTAATCGAATTGAAACAATTGTGTTTTTTTTTTTTGAATACAAAAAAGAAGCTTTAATTAACATGTGTTTTTCAGGTGATTCACAGAGAACGAAGTGATAAGCTTAAAAGTGATTTGATAATGCTTATAAAAAAGTACGGTGTTTTTAAAGCTTGTGGTATATATCAAAACAGCTATTCAACTGGACACTAAAGGTTTGATACGATGTGGTAAGTAGTCAACAGTTTGCAGGTCTCCAACACTTTATTTTCCTTAAATGTCGACAAATTATGTTATTTTCTTCTGCCACAGCAATTCAGCCTAACAGTGCTCAACACAACTACGTAGAAGCAAATGACAAGTGGATCAGATTTAGACGAGTTTTCCATTGATCATCACATAATATTGAAGGTCAGCAGTTCACAGCCGGTAGTCTTAATCATCGTTGAATCTGTGTTCCTGCTTGTTGCTGCTATACCTTGCACAATTCGTTAAGAAGCCTTGGAAACATACGTTGCGAAGTTATTTTGGTATTTTAATAGAGAAGACAGTGAAAACCACCATGTTTGTGTTTAAAAGCTTTTTCGCTAGTCAATAGAAGCTTAGCAAAATTAAAGTAAAAAACACACTGTTGAAAGGTTTTCTAACTATAAACATTTCAGTCAAAGTAGAGCGACAATTATATGAGGATGACAAACAAGTAGGGGTTTCTTATACCGGTAAACGTCTATAAAGCCGTGCTGTGACAACAACTTATTGCAATAGAATTATATTGTCTGTTTTCCCCTTTTTTTTGCATTTTCTGTTAGCTATTGAAAAAATTTTCCAATTCAAGAAAATTCAAAAATCAACAGATTTGCTAAAAAACTAATTAGTGATCATGTTCAACTAATTACGCTTACTTTGGCAAGTTTAATCAAATCGAAACGCTGTTGTTATTTTAAAGCGCTGTTGTCAAAAGGTTCACTAAATGTTGTATTTGACGTATCAGCTGTGAATATAATAGAAGAAATGTTGTAAACAGCAAGCCGTATTTTCTTGATCATCAAACGGCTTGCCACTGGGAGGTATTTGTATCAGTTTGTGTAACAAATAGGTAAAGATATACAAAATAAAGTTGTTTTTTTTTCTTCAGCTTGAACCTATAAAACATTTGATTGTGGTTTTTACAAAAACAATTTGTAAACTTGAGATCTATTTTGTAAAACGGCAAGCTTAGAAACAATAGCAATAAGCTGAAAAGGGAAAAAAGAAATAATTTTGGCATATTACGAAGAATAATTTAAAAATCTTTATCGCTATACATTAGCAATTAATTTGAATCTTAATTAAATGTTAGGTTTGATAGGATAACACTTCATAATGTACGTCTGCTGTCATTAATATTATTGGTGTTTAGCTTAAATAAACGTTTTCTCTTACTTCGCTGTTTTCTTCAATGGAATCTCAACAAAATGCAAAGTCGCAGAAGCAACAGAAATTTTTACAAATTATGAATTTGCTGCAAAAAAAAAAAAAACATAATTTACTGCAATAAAAATTGTATTAAGTAAGGTTAGCGATGCTTAGAAGGCACCCATATTAAGCATAAACAACTAAATAAACGTATATTAAAGCAACTTTATCAAACTGGTCTCATAAGTCTTCAGATATTATCACAGATTGGCAGAGTCAGGTATTTCGTTTTATGTAATATATTTTTGTTCTTTAATACATTTGAAATATGGATTTTTTGTAC